GTGCCACAAACAGAAAATTATATACAACTGTATTACCTGTTACTCGCAACATATGCAGGTTCTGTTCACTAAAGCAAGTAGACGCACGCGTCTATTATTAAGTAGAGCGCGCGTGCCCTCTCTATAACAGCTTACGGTCAGCAGCTCACGTCACATGTGATTTTCCCGGCCGCGAAAACATCATTATATAACAACAAAAATGCCATTATTAGGTGAATTATACCTTACAAGTTCCTTATGTGATTCATTCAACATCATTTGGTAGGTGTTAATGTCACTGAGCATCGTGTGTGAAACAATGAAAAGACTCGTGTAGCCACCTTTTCTTCTCTCCTAAATTTGAAAATATGATTGACAGAATCGTAGAAATGCTGGATTAAGATCGTCTAGGGGGTCGAATCGAGATCGCGATCTTTTAACCATTAATTGTGCAGCTCTAGTTAAGCTTCGATCAGAATCAAAGATTCATTCATTCATTCATTTTCTTTTCGGCTTAGTCCCTCATTAATCTGGGGTCACCACAACGGAAAGAACCGCCAACTTATCAAGCATATGTTTTATACAGCTGATGCTCTTCCAGCTGCAACCCATCACTGGGAAACACCCATACACTCCTATTCACGCTCATACTCTACGGATAGTTTAGCGTACCCAATTCACCTACTGTATACCACATGTTTTTGGACTTGTGGGAGAAGGGTCTGGCTGCAGAGTTGCACTTGCATCTTCAGGCTTGCACTCTCGGGAGTGCACGCTCAGGCACCCACGCTTCATGTGCAAGTGACGTCACCTGCACCTATCACGTCACTTGAAATCAACACAAATAAATCAAAAGTAAGTTTCCAGGTCGTTTGCGTGCCAGTGACCCCCCCCCCCACCCCCCAGTTAGTATATTCATATGATCATATGCTTTGTATGCTTTGCTGTAAATTTACCAAAGCAGGCTGCTATTAACATTCATACCAGGAAAGCTTATTATTTATTTATATCAACTATCAGGTCTAAATATACACACAAGGTATTCTTCCACAGTTATGAATAAAAAAACACCGGGCAAATTTGAATTTTAGTTTTTATTTTAAACATTTCAACATTCATTTTGTAGTAACAGATGCACTTTATGGACTTACAGCAATGATTCTTGAACGACTTGGGAAACTATTCTTTATAACTATTCCTTGTAAGTTAGCACGTCTGCTCAGGAGTGCATCAATATGAAATCACAGTTGCAGCACAGCTTCAATAGTCTCTACATGATCCCAGCCCAGTTTTATAGGTCCTCCAAACATAATGTCGAGATCGACTGAATAACGGAACTCAACTCGCTTAGCGGAAAGAAATTGGCACTGATGATGTGTAACATTACTGCAGAGCTGTTGTAAGGCAAGCATTCGTGGTTCGTTACAATCTGTTTACGTAACTATAGCAGCTCTGGCACCTGTCGCCGTATGTTGCCAGAAACTACAGTAGTGAAACACTTTGAAAAAAGGCACTTGAGTAAGGGTGACAGATAACAAGTTTGTTGCAACGATCTTAATGAAATCCGTTACCTTAGAGATTTTTCCGCCTCAGAGACACCCTTAAGTTAAATTACCGAAGGACTTTCATGCAAGCGGCCACAGGTGGCGATTGTAAATGACGTCACTCGCAGAGGAAGCATGGTTGCCTGAGCGTGCAAGTCCGAGTGTGCAAGCCTGGAGGTGCAAGTGCAAATCTTTAGCCAGACTCGATTGACTTGTGGGGGAAATCAGAGCACCCGGAGGAAACCCACACCAACACGTGGAGAACATGCAAACTCCACACAGAAATGCCAACTAGTCCCAACCGAGGCTCGAACCAGCGACCTTCTTGCTCTGAGGCGACAACGCTACCCACCGCACTGCCCTATTCAGCAGCCCATGTAGTATAAATATCTAAAAGCCCTCTTCAGTGAACTGCTAAAGATGATTACAGCCAATGTCAGCCGCTGTACATTGAGCAGAACTGAATATATCTAAACCTGTTTAACATCAGCCGTTATCTAAATACCGTCGCTTACTGGTCCAACGAGTGCTGTGAAGAAATGTGTGTGTGGTCCAGAAGCAGACGGCGAGCACTGGCTGCTGTTAGATGATGCTGCAGGAGTGTGTGTGTCCAGATCCACCATATGCCATAAAGCAGCCCTGCGTGTGGCAGATCAAAACCCCACAGCTGTCAGAGACTACAGCAGATCACACTCGCACACACACATACTCGACACACACCGAAAACATGTGCACACAACCATGCAGACACATACACATTCTCAAACATACACACACACTCACACACTAACATGTGCACATGTATACACAACTATGCAGACTCATACACACTCTCAGACACACACACGTGCACACATACTCACTGCCATGCAGACTCATATACTGTACATTCTTAGACATGCACACACAAACATGCATACAAATACACACTTTCAGAAATGCACACACACATACAAGCACACTCAAACCCACGCTCACACATTCACACACACAAACACACAGGCATGATGCACACTCATATGCACACACAGTCACACACACACACACACACACACACACACAGAAATGCAAGCGCACCTTCACACACACACTCACACACACTAATACACTGTCACACTCACACACAGAAACGCAACCAAACACTAACACACTCATACACA